ATAGTCAGTTGTAAATATAAAACTAGAAGAAAGTAAAATGACATTATTGCACATTGTTTAAATATTGCACATTTTTTATATTGAGGTATATGGAATATGAATTAAATCTATAATGATAAAAAGAACAGAACAGAAATTACAAAATGTTAGCTTTTCTGCTTTTGCCATCTTTTTTTATTTCTTACTTTTAAAGTCTGTTCCTCTTCTTGTATTTCTTTTTCTATTTAAACAAACATCAAAAGTTCAGCTATTACTAAAACTCACTTTCAACTTTTTCAGCACACGTCAGTAAACTGATTCAGCCTTCATGCAGTGTTTTCACTGAAAATGCTGTTTTTCTAGTTGATTTTTTTTTAAAATCCTCTTCTTATGGTTGCAGTGTGCTGCACCCAAGTCGGACCTCGTGGCCACGCTGAAGAAAGGCTCCTCCAGAATTTGTTTGCAAATTACAACAAGCTCTCCCGGCCTGTGAAGAACACTTCAGACACGGTGTTGGTCCACTTTGGACTCTCGATTGCCCAGCTAATTGATGTGGTGAGTGAAACCTCACAGCCTTGTCAGGTTTCACTGATAACAAGCCGAGGATTTCATAAATTACGTTCATTTGTTTGGCGTTTCCTGTAATATTTCTTTACATTGTGCGAGGAAACAATTGAGATTTGAAATTTATATTAACTTTATCGTTGTGTTTCTGTCTCGAGGGTTTGCATTAAATTCATTATTTTCCACAGATTTTATTACAATTTCATCATTACCAGGAAGCAAAAGAAGCTGGACTGTAAATGCATCAGTTTGAGAAGGCCATAAACCAGCAGATTAGCTCCAGCACATTAAACTGGGTGCTGCTCATTGTTTATGATGATGTTTTGCAGCATAATTATATGAGGGACTCATTTCCACTGGTGCCCTCGTTCTGTTTATGTAGATTCATTATTTTATGCTCAAAGCCACGCCAAGCAAAGTGTAATAAATTTCAAGTCAGATCTCTAATCAGCGGAAATGAAAACAGAACAAAAGCACGTTATGTTGTTTTCCTTTTTTTCTTCACAAATTAAATTTAATTGTCAAGCTGGTTACTGCAGGCAGTAAATACTCAAACTATCTGTTGAACAATATTCCTATCGCATCTTTATTCACACTCATTCTCTTTGCATTTCACAACTGATTTCTGACACATGCATTTTCAACAATAGTCGTGAGGATTTGTTATTAAAACAGTTTTTAACACATCCACTCAAAACTTCCTGGAGAAACCTACAGAATATAGATTATGCCAGATGATTTTTCCAGTTTTTTGACACTGAGTTAGCTGACAGTGCTTGTTCCACATGCCTGCTGGTGAGTGTCAACTCCAGGTGAAGTTGTCTTTTCCCACAGAGTGTGTGCACTGACTGCTGCGTCTCAGATGTTGCTGTGGAAGAGCTGGAGAAAGCAGAAACGTAACAGTGTGCTCCTGCATCAACCATCGGCTGTTATTTATATATTTCATTTGGATTTTTTCTGGCGTATTACACAATACGCTTCGTCGAGTTCTGACTGACATTTTAATTAAAAAAATGTTAATTCTACCTTTTTTTTGTTTTGTTTTGCATCTCTGTTAAAGGATGAAAAGAATCAGATGATGACGACAAACGTCTGGGTTAAGCAAGTAAGACAATATGAGAGACAAAAGCAATGCTGAAGGTACAGTGAAATAAAAAATGCTGCAGTCTAATAAATTGTGACTATTGTTGTCCTGCAGGAGTGGAACGATTACAAGCTCCGCTGGGACCCAGAGGAATATGAAAATGTCACTTCCATCCGAATTCCTTCTGAGATTATCTGGAGGCCTGATATTGTTCTCTACAACAAGTGAGTTACACTGAATTAGGAATGCATATCACTCCCGGTTTATGCCAAATTTGAGACTTGAGATCATTTTATGTTGAGAAATGAGTTGCAGCTGTTTAGCTCAAGCCTTGAAAATAATGTTGTGTGATGTTAAAGGATGCCATGCTGAAAGGATTTGATGTAAATGGATCTAAGGTATCACCCCCACCAGATTTCAGCTTACTACTTCCTATTTATTAATTGGCATCCTTCTAGAAGGTGACCTATGACCCATTATGGCTTTCTATTGCTGGTGACCAATGTGGGCGCAACTCCTACATTGGTTTGTATGGCATGCGGTCTCCCATCCAAGCACTAACCAGGCCTGACCCTGCTCAGACGAGATGACGTGTTCGGGGGGGTTTGGTAACAAGATTTCAGCCGAACATTTATAAAATTGACTGAGTTGTAGATATTTTTGTGTTGATTAATGTGGCAGCTGTAGTAAAATCCTACACTGATGGCTCGGAAAGATAATGAGTTACAGATTTACATTATTTTCTTAAATTTTCATAAAGTCTGTCAAGTCATTGATGAGATATTTTCCTAACAGACTGAATTGACTCCAAGAGTGAATGCTCAAATATTAAGGGGGGGCATAATGTATTTTCCAGGCACGTGGTTCAGAGGAGTTTAAGTATCTCRGGGTCTTGTTCACGAATGAGGGAAGAATGGAGCGGGAGATCAACAGGCAGATTGATGCTGCATCTGCAGTGATGCGGGTGCTGTACCGGTCTGTCGTGGTGAAGCGGGAGCTGAGTCAGAAGGCAAAGCTCTCGGTTTACCTGTCTGTGTACGTTCCTACCCTCGTCTATGGTCACAAACTTTGGGTAGTGGCCGAAAGAATGAGATTGCGGATACAAGCGGCTGAAATGGGTTTCCTCCGCAGGGTGGCTGGGCTCTCCCTTAGAGATAGGGTGAGAAGCTCAGTCATCCGGGAGGGACTCAGAGTAGAGCCGCTGCTCCTCCACGTCAAGAGGAGCCAGTTGAGGTGGTTCATCTGGTTAGGATGCCGCCTTGACGCCTCCCTGGTGAGGTGTTCCGGGCACGTCCCATTGGGAGGAGGCCCAGAGGAAGACCCAGGACACGCTGGAGGGACCATGTTTCTTGGCTGGCCTGGGAACACCTTGGGATTCACCCACGGGAGCTGGCCCAAGTAGAGAGGGAAGTCTGAGTCTCTCTGCTTAGGATGCTGCCCCCACTACCCAACCCCGGATAAGTGGAAGAAAATGGATGGATGTTCACTTCTATACCACAATCAAGTTGTCATGAAAATGCCACATATGTATATCAAAAAATGTGCATGACTCTCTTACGGCCACCAAATTTTAGCAAAATATTTGTGAAGTTAACTAAATTATATCAAATTTTTCTTTGTCACTTGGATATGGCGACCATATTAAATTGTGCTGGCTTCAAAATTAATCAGTTGAAGATGTATATAATTTTTTGCTAAAATTATTTTTGAAATCTACCCAGTTTTTACAAATATTTTATAAATGGACAAAGATGCCTGCAAATACTTAATGGCAAAATTTTAAACATAAATCTTACACAGTCTGTTAATGCTCAGAATGTGTTGGGGATCGTTATCATTTGATACCGCACCAACTTTTAGGTGTAAAATATATTGAAGTTATGACTCCAGAAGTGAATTAGTCGATGTACGTCTAATGGACAATTTCTAGCTTTATTCAAATTTTAGTCACAGAAAAATACCCCACCACCATCCCCCAAACGCACACACATCCTTGTACTTGCATCAAACTGAAGACTTTGTATTGACTTTCATTCATTTTTGTAACTGTATTTATGCCTAACCCAGACATTTTCCCTAAAACTAACAATCACTAGCCTATAACCTGAACCAAAACTTAATTCACACCATACCTCTAAACCTAACTAGTAGAACACAGTACAGCTGCAGAAAAAGTGAGAAAAATCCTCACTTTCCAAAACTGACCTCACTTTGTTGGTTAAAAACACATTAAGGTCCTCACTCTGTAGCAGAAACAAGTCCACACACACACATAAACATGAGCAAAACCTCAGTTTTCACCGTTTGGTGGCGGGCGATAATTAGAGCGATAATTACATCTCCGTCACAGAGAAGCTTCTAACTGTCACCATTTCCAAAGACAAAAATCACGTGTCAAGTGTTTCTCAAATGTCGATGACTTATTTCCAACAGATGGCAGGAACTGCGG